GCTTGGGTTCGAGTTGCCAGCTACTGGCCGTCTTCTTCGAGGAGTTCGCCCTGGGGGCGACGGCGGAATTGTGTGGCTTGGTGGCGAGGCGCTTCCGTGTTGCAACTACGAGTGCGCGAGGCTGCAGTTTTCGTTGGCTGACGGCGTCGTCGCGTTCCCCAGCGCCAGCGGCGACGGGCGGGCGACTCTGAATCCGAACTCGAGCAGGCGATCGCGCAGCTGTTATCCGTGGTGTGGGGCGGGTCAAGATGGGCGCCGCTCCTCAGGGGCGCCTCGAGCCCCTTTGCCCAGCAGCGGATCGCCGTGGCCAAGCCGGGGAAGGGCAGAGGCAAGCCGAAGTAGCCCCAGAAGCGCGGCAGGTGCAGCTCGCGGCCAATCTCGAACGCATCGGGGCCGGAGAAGTAACATCGACGCGACCTGACTCGTGAGTGGACCCTCGCACTTCCAAGGGCGCCGGGCCGACCCGTGCTCCCCTGTCTCACAGCGCGGGTGCACTGTGACGACCTCATCCGATGTGGCGGCATGCTCGGGCTCTGTGGCCTCTCGCCCCCTCCGGCGCGACGGCAAGACGTCCTTTGGCCGGGCTCGCGGTCACATTCCATTTGCAGACGACCAACCCAATGGACGTTATTTGTCTGCCTCGCTCGCTCTCCTCCGAGTTCCAAGCGGGCGCCGTTCTGTCGTCGGCTTGTGGGATGAAGTGGGTGCAGCTCAGGATTCGTGCCGCCAGATATCGGCTCGCGGTCGACTAAGTTGGCCTAGTTCGATGTCCATGAGCGGCCCTCCCCTTTGATTTTGTTTCGGTATCCGATGGCTGGGCCGAGTCGTCTGGCCGCGGCTTCTCCGACTTCGCCCTGCGCTCCGTGGGCTGGGCCGCGTCTGCGCCAACTATAGGTTGGCCCTGGGCTCCTGCGGCAACCCTCTCTGCCCGACCTCCAGCGCTCCGACTGCGTATCCGGAGGCCGGTCTCTTTTCGTAGGCAGCCGCCCCGCTCTCCCGCCGGCCGCCTCGCGCGCTCGCGTGCTGGCCAGTGAGGGGCGGCTTCTCGCGTCGGGGGTCCTGCGCCCCCCGTCCGCTGCTCCTCTTCTGCCCTCCCTCTGCTTTGGCCTCCACTGCTTTTCCTCGTCGCCTCCCTCCCGCGTCGTTAAAACAGGGCTAGGATCGGGATAAATCGCTCCAGAGCGTTCTGGAGCGCTCTCAGAGCGTTCCGGAACGCTCTGGAGCGGCCGCGGCGCCCAATACATCCTCCAAACCCAATGCATCCTCCAAACCCGAGTTATCCCGATCCGATTTTGTCCCGATCTTCGCGTCGTTTTACCTGCTTCTCCTCGTCGCCTCCCTCCCGCGTCGTGCCCCTCCCGTCCACCGTTCTGCTGGGGTGTGGAGCCCCTCCCTCGGGGTGGGGCGGGTGCTGCGGCGGCCTGCCCGCCGCGCGCAGCGCCGAGGGCTCGGCCTCGCAGAGGCCGGACAAGGGGCCCCATTCAACCCCGGCGCCCGATTTTGTCCTAAACTTCCTTTGGTTGGGTTCTCGTTTCAAACGGAGCAGTGGGATCTCCACCTCCTCCTCCTCCTCCTCCTCTCCTCCTCCTCCTCCTCCTCCTCCTCCTCCTCCTCCTCCTCCTCCCTCCTCCTCTCCTCTCCTCCCCCCCCCCCCGCTCTCGTCTCGGCTCTCTTCTCCCGCATCCCTCTTGGGGGCCGTGAAGCGTGAAGCTGTCGCCACGTTCGAGGGCCGCTGTGGGGGGCCCGCGCAGTGGGGCCACGCGCAGATCCGAACGGAACCTCGCCATCCCCGGGGGGGGGTGCGAAGCGTGAGACCGTCGCCAGTTTCGAGGGCCACTGGGGGAGCCAGCCCAGTGGGGCCACGCGCAGATTCGAACGGAACCTCGCCATCCCTGGCGGGGGGTGCGAAGCGTGAGACCGTCGCCAGTTTCGAGGGCTACTGGGGGAGCCAGCCCGGTGGGGCCACACGCAGATCCAAAAGGGACATCGCCATCCCCGTGTGTGTGTGTGTGTGTGTGTGTGTGTGTGTGTGCGAAGCGTGAGACCGTCGCCAGTTTCGAGGGCCATTGGGGGAGCCAGCCCAGTGGGGCCACACGCAGATCCAAACGGGACCTCGCCATCCCTGGCGGGGGGTGCGAAGCATGAGACCGTCGCCAGTTTCGAGGGCCATTGGGGGAGCCAGCCCAGTGGGGCCACACGTAGATCCAACCAGGACCTCGCCATCCTGGCGGGGGGTGCGAAGCGTGAGACCGTCGCCAGTTTCGAGGGCTACTGGGGGAGCCAGCCCAGTGGGGCCACACGCAGATCCAAACGGGACCTCGCCATCCCTGGCGGGGGGTGCGAACAGTGAAACTGTCGCCACTTTCCAGGGCTGCAGGGGTGGCAGCACAGTGGGGTCCCACGCAGATCCAATTGGGACACCGTCATCCCTCGGGGGTGTGCGGAGTATGAAACTTTCACAATTTTTGAGGGCTGGTGGGTGGCGGGGGGGCAACGCAGTGGGGTGCCACGCAGATCCAAACGGAACGTCGCAATCCCTTGGGGGCTGCCATTCTTTGGGGGCTGCGAAGTGTGAAAATGTCGCCACTGTCGAGGGCTGCTGGGCAGGGCACCGCAGTGGGGCCCCACGCAGATCCAAACTGGACCTCGCCATCCGTGGGGGGCCAGCACAGTGGGGTCCCACGCAGATCACAAAAGACCTCGCCATCCCTGGGGGGGCTGCGTAGTGTGAAATTGTCGCCACTGACGAAGGATTGCGGCGCGCCTGCGCGCGTTTGGTGCTCGCACTAAGAGGTGCGGGGAGGAAACGGAGAGGCTGGCGGGCGAACGCTACTAACGGGAGCTTTTTAATTTCACGAAGCGCTGCAGCAACGCGGAGCGCTAGCTACGCAGATGTTGAGCATGTCGGCATTGCAAAACGTGGAACTTCATTGTCTGGTTGCGTTTCCGCCTATGTAGCCTTATCTTGCCCATGCTGCATCCTCTCGCTGCTTCTGGCGAGGTGTTGGCTCTTCCATCCCGATGTATTCTTTTTGCTGGCCCTTCCCAGTACAGTGCCTCCTTGCGTTTTGTAGATCTGTTCTGCGGGTCGGCCACGCACACTTCGCACTATATAAATATATACATATATCCGCCGTGCACCGTCTTTAGCAGTGTTGCGGTCACGGTATTGTCGGCGCGCCTTACATCATCCCTTGGTGCCGATGGGTTGGGTATGTCGCACGGTAGTTCCCCCCCACCCCCCGATTTGCGACTGCTTCCGTATTCGTGGGTACGCGTGGCTGTGTGGTGCGCGATGTTTTTGTTCTCTACGCACGCTTTCGTCGATTGTTACAGGCAAGGCTCTCGCGCACGCCTGCGCGCGCGCAGAGTGCGTCACACATTGCACGCGAACTGAGTGTTCTTCTTCTTCTTCCTCCTCCTCCTCTTCCTTCACCCCCTTCTCCTCTTGCTCCTTCCTTCCCCTCCCTCACTCCGTTCTCCTTCCGCGCCCCTCTCAGCCAGTGTGCCACCATGGCACCGCGCCCGACACTGGGATCCGACGCAACGGACAAAATGCAACATCATGAAAATCACAGCCGGAGCCCCGGGCCCCATTTTCCGGACCTTTTTTTCGAGCCGGGTCGATCCTGTGAGGGTTCCGAGGCTCGAATCTGGGCGAAAGCGCTCAGCCCGAAAACGGCGACGCCGGCCGCCGCCGCCAGCCCTCAGCCGCCGCCAGACGCCGTGAGTTTCGCGGGCTTCTCGTCCAGCGCGTTCGGCGCCGCCGCTCCAGCTCGTTGGATCACTGATTCGGCCAGGAGGTGTGGCTTACCAAACAAGGCAGATCGGCACCAGTAGGAACCTCCGGAGGTCCGCGCGGATCTTTCGGATCGTCGCCGGGCCCTCCTGGCGGCGCCTCCGGCGCCGCCCCTGGCGCGCGGAACGCGCCAGGAAGAGTGGGGTGCAGCGCAGATCCAAGATTCTGTTTATGTTTATGTTGCCTCAGATTATGTTTACGTTCCAGAAGATCAGACAGTCAATGCTTATGCCGTGTTTGGTTGCCCTGGCTTAGCGTGTCTCAGCGCCAGTTCTGGACCACCGCGCTGCGGCGCGACACGCCGTGTACGTCGTGGCCTCCGGGCGTCAACGTCCCGCGCTGCTCCCGGCCGCCCCCCGCCCCGCGAAGCGGAGCGACGCGCCAGCTGCCCGCAGGGTCATTCAGGAGGGAAAAAAACACACACACACAGACACAATTCATCGCCGGCTCCCCAGAAAAATAGTGGAAGAAGTGTTCCCGACCGCGGCTCGGGCGTGGGGCGGCCGTTCGGGCCGGTGCGAGCACCCTCGAGGCGCTCTCGTAGGGGGCCACGGGCGAACCTCTCCTCCTCCTCCCCCTCCTCGCCCTCCTCCCTCCTCCCCCTCCTTGCCTCTGCTCTCGGCACACCCCTCACACGCTTCGTAGCCCCATAGGGAGCTCCACCAAAGGTCCCAGTGGCACAGCCCGTACCCCCCACGATTTCTGAGGTGGAGGGTGGGGTTCACTTCGCTCAAGAGCTCCCGAGCAAAGTGAGCCCCACCCTCCCCCTCAGGAATCGTGGGGGGTAGGGGTAGGGTTCGCATGTGGCCCCCTACGAGAGCGCTCTCGGCGAGGCGCATCCGTCGGCAGGCATCTCGGGGCGAGGGAGCCTCCAACGGTCAGCGAAGGTATGCGAAACGAAGGCTTCTTGGGGTCCGCATTGACCGTCGTTTTTTCCCATGTTTTTCCGCCGCCCGGATCTGGATGCCCCCTCCTCAGGGGCAAAGCTAGTGGGGGATGGGCTCATGGGGGGATGCATCGACCCCTCGAGCGCACTCATCGCCTACATGGGGTCCGATGGCCCCCCCCCGCCCATGAGCGTGCGGTTTTGCTACTGGGGGCCTATCGCGTATCGCCGACTCCATGTCGATGTGCCCCTCCCTGAGCTGTTTCCCCCCTTACCTAACTTTCTGATTAACCCTCCCCTCCCCTCCGTCTCCAGGTGGAGCGCCGCCAGGCGGCTTAAGGCCGCGCTGCAGGTCCACGAGGACAAGCAGGAGCAGAAGGCCGAGCCTGGGCGGGAGCGCCGTGCTCCCTGTGCTGCTAGCGCTGAGGAGGTGAGGGGGGAGGAAGAGGAGGAAAAGGAGGAGGAGGAGGAGGAGGAGGAGGAGGAGGAGGAGGAGGAGGAGGAGGAGGAGGGGGAGGAGGAGGAAAAGGGCCCACGGCGGCCCATCGCTGGCAGGCAGCCAGACCTCTCTCCTCGCAGACATGCCTGCAGTTGCCATGGACGACAGGGAGGCCTTCGTGCCGCCACCTATCTCGCCTCGTGACGACCGCAGCCGCAGTGGTGAACAAGGGCGGCGTGCGCAGGACCAGGCACAGGCCTCAGCTGAAGGAGGCCGTCGGCATGCAGCGCAGTCCCCAGCCAACCGCGGAAGGCGCTCGGCAGCATCTGGTGGCACAGGTGGCAGTGGTACCCCCGCGGCGGCAGCGCGTCGTGCGGCTCCTGCTGTCCAGCCTCCTGGTGGCCCTCAGCTGCAGCAGCCTCAGCTTCCCAACCTTCCACCACCAGGTGGACCACAACCTGCTGGCGACGGGGACATTCGCCAGTACGTGGACGCCACAAAGAATACCCTCATGGAGGCCATCCAGAGCATCCAGTCCTCGGTCGCCACCCTCGCTGGCACGGTGCAGACGTCTTGTGAGTCCCTCGGCGAGCAGATGGAGCGTGGAGACCACGAGCAGAGCCCAGGGCCAACGCATCACAGTCTTGGAGGATAAGATCACGCGCTTGGAGGAGTTGCTTGGCATCATGCAGTCCGAGCGCCAGTCCATCCAGCCGATCCCAGATGCTGACTTCATGCGTGAGCCTGACCCGACCATCATCGTGGCCAGGACGAAGAACATGGTGCAGCAAAGTGAAGTCAGGAACACACTTGATGGATGGTTCCAGCAGTTTCAGGTCCCGAACGAGGAGGTCCGCATTGAGAGCGATCCCTCGGACACCAAGTTCGTCATCCGCTTCCTCGGCAACGGCAACCTCGCGGCCAAGCGAGTGGCGAAGGCGATCTCTCTACTCCGTGGGCGTGACGGGTCTTGGCAGAGGTTCACGGTACGGGACCCCATGGGCCACGTCCAGGAGCTGTACCTGTCCCTGGACAAAAGCCCGTGAATGGTCAAGACAGAGATCTCGCTCAAACGTGCACGCAAAGTTTTGGAGTCGATCTATGGCGCTCACCCGCACAACATTAAATTCTTCACGGACAAGTCCCAGGGCACGATCTCGGCGCAATGGAAGCAGTTGCTCAGGATCACAGTCAGCGGCCCAGGGGTGCAGCCCACGGTCGAGTATGCTGACGACCACTTGCAAGAGCTTGGCATGGTCAAGGATGCCATCAAATCGAGGGTTGATGCGGCGCTCTCGAGCACTTCACAGCCGACGCGGTGGTGTTCCTAACGCCTTCTTCAAGACCTGGGCAGGCGGCGGCTCGAAAGAGTTGCCGATGTTTCTCGCCTCGTGGAATGCGCGGGCTCTCTTCCATCATCAACTGGGGCTTCGCGGCCGCAAGCTGTCATATCTTTCGTCACTGCTCGTCCAAGGGGGCTTGGTTGCAGTGCAGGAATGTCACGGCACGCAATTTGAAGTTGATGACTTCCTCTGCCACCTCCATCGTCCCTTCCGCGCCTTCACCTCCTTCTGCGACTCTGGCGAGGACGACGTTCCCTCTAATGCTGGGGGAATAATTACGTTCGCTCCTGATTTTGGTCAGCTCCCTGAAACTAATCGTCCGCAGATTGTTCATCAGGTTTGGGCTCCAGGACGCGTTCAACAGCTTCAACTTTGCTTTCCTAATGGAGCTTGGATCCTTCATTGGAACATACATAACCACGACCTAGCCATTTATCGGAGGGACCTCATCTTCCAGGCAATCCAGGACGACCTCGCCAGGGCCTCTCGGGACCCCGTGCACTCGTTCGTGGTTGTCGTCGGGGACTTTAACGTTTCTCATCTTCCTCCGCGCCATCTGCACGACCATCCACTAGCTCAGCAGCAGTTGCAAGGTTGGCGGCGTCAGCGTGTGACCGTGTGGCGACAGATCTTCGGGCTGATGACGGAGGTGGAGGTGGGGGGCCATACTCATTATCACGAACCAAGCCACACGACCTCTAGTCTGGACCGCCTCTTTGTAAGTGTTCCAGGATGGGCTTTAACTCAACTTAGTGCCGCTGGTCAGGTGCACGGCTTTCCTGAAGTTATGCGCCAGCTTGAGCTGTCCGACAACGCAGCAGTCTCGACGGTGATGAACCCCAGGGACCCTCTCAAGCCCGAAGATAGGCCGATCCCCCCCCGACATCTTCAAGCTCACAGAATATCGTAAATATGTTCAGGCTGCTGCGCTGGATGTCGACACGAGCTCTCTTTCACCACCGCTCTTGCTTGCCTTTCAGAAGAAGGTGATGAGATCGGCGGCCCAGTGCGCTAGAAACATCATGATCTTCAAGGACCCAGAATCTACTCTCACCCATCTCATCATCTACAAATCGATCTCCAGGGCTCCATGGCAACAGAATATGAAACTGGGACGCCGTCTTGTCGCTAGTCACCGTCTGGCCCGTCACTATCTGGAGATAGACGAGCTTGCTGGTGTCCTTCGGCTTCGCCACCCTGTCGAATTCCAGATGGCAACGAACGTCGCCCAGTGCAAAATGGCGGAAAAAGAAACAAGCTGCGCTGCGCTCGCAGTTGAACGCCGACGACCCCGCCGTGGTCCAGAAGAAAACTCGCCGTCGTCTTCGAGGGTTGGCGAAACGAGCTAGGCTCTGGTCTCCCTTTGATCGCCGGCTGGTGCTGCAGGGAGTGCGGCATCAAGGCCAGGTTCTCACAGCGCCCGAAGCGATGCTGGGCGCGCTGTCATCGCACTGGGGGAAGATCTTCAGTGCGAAGCAGGTGGAGGTCCAGAAAGCTGCCGAATTTGTCGAAAAGTACGGCCCCGAGGTTGACCTCATGAACCTCCTGCCCCCGTCCCTGGCCACGGTCTCTAGGGTGCTCCGGAAGGCCTCCAATTGCACTCCTGGGCCAGATGGCCTACCTTACGCTGCCTGGCTTTATCATCCGCGTGGGCCCCAGATCCTGACAACGGTGATGTGGTGGTGTCTTAGTGGACAGTACATGGGAGTTGACCTCAACTACCTAAGAAAAGCGTTTATCCCTAGGGGGGAAGAAGACGGGGACCCCGCAGGTATCATACGTGAAGCCTCCCAGACAAGACCCCTCGGGCTCAAAAGCGCGGACGTCAAGGTGATAACGGCAGCAGTCTTCTGGCCCCTCTCGGTAGAGATCCCCAACTTCGTCAGCAAGCTGCAGCGCGGCTTCGTTCGTGGACGGAATCATGGCATGAATGTGATTGAGCTCGACATGTACGCACGTGTGGCTTCGATGCGTGAGTGTGCCCCGCAAGCCCTCCCAGCTCTCGTGAGCTTCGATTTCGCTCATGCTTTTCCTAGTCTCGCTCACCCCTGGCTCCTTCTTGTCGTCGACGCTCTCGCTATCCCCTCTCCTCTCAAGTGGTTCGTTCGAGTGATATATGCGAATGTATTGTGCTTCGCGATGGCTGGACATGTCCTGCTGCCGCTCTTTCACATCCTCTCAGGTATAGTGCAAGGCTGCCCTGGCAGCGGTGCCCTGTACGCCCTCGCTTCTCACCCCTTTCTCGCCCTGCTCGAGGACACCTTTGAAGAGAGAGTTGTCCCAGCTGCTGGATCGACGAAGAGCTCCAACACGCTCAGGCGTCCGACGTCTGGCGAGGCCCGTGCGTGTGCTGATGACCTCGGAGCAGTGGTGTACGTCTTAGCGGGGTTGAAATCCCTTTTTAAGATGTTTCAATTCGCGGCGGCCTACGCGGCCCTTCATTTAAAAGCTAGTAAATGCTTTTTGGCTCCTCTGGCGGGTCCCTTTACCCAGGCCCTGGCCCAGAAATACAGAGACTGGATCGCTCGTGTGATCCCAGCCTGGGCCGAGTTTCAGATTTCCGCGTCCCTGAAATACTTCGGTCTGATCCTCGGACCTGAAGTCCGCTGGCAGTCTTGGATCGCGCCCCGAGCTAAGCACTCGCTGCGTGTGCAAGCCATTGCTGCCGCCTCTCCTCCTACTGCTGTCGCCGCGGCAATGTACGACAAAAGGGCTCTGACGACTCTCTCCTACGTTGGCCAGTTCCTCCCTCTCACTCCCAGATTCCCCCAGTCAGGACACGCCCTGTTAGCTTCGGTGTATCGCGTCCCTCATTGCTCTTTTTCTCGATCGGACTTCTTCAATATACATCTTTGGGGAGCGCCGAAGTTCAGAAGCGGACTGGCGGTTAACCTTGCTGCTCGCATGAGGGCCGCTTTGTGGACGTTTCGTGGCTGGGATTCGGTATATGCCCGACTGCGCGCAGCTGTTCTGTCCCAGCGTACCATCAGAGACTTGTGTGATAACCAGTTGTCCCCGGCCTTTTGGGCCGACATCAGCATCGTAGAGCATGTCCGCGAGGCTGCCAGAGGCTTCCCTTCGAGTTCGGCTTGGTCGCCGTGTGGTAGTGCAGCGTTGGAGGAGGCCCACCCGATCCTCGCCGAGCTTCGGGCCCCTTCTCAGCATTCTGGAGCTCGGCCAAAGCTTCAACGCGCGCTGTGTGCTACTATCTCGGGCATCCTCCATCCTCCTGCTGTTTCGTCCTCTCTCGCTCGCCGTCTAAAGGATTGGTACCCCCAGCACGCGAGTGAGATTAATGAGATAGATTGGGAGCGGGTGCGGGCTGCATGTGTCCAGTTGCCTCCAGCTCTTTCATCTTCGTACATAAAATCTTTTTTTTCGGAGCGTGGACGACGGCAGCTCGCTTTCAAGAGGACGGGGATCAGTGTAGATTTGGCTGCAGGTGCGGCCGAGATCATGTGCCACACTATTTCGAGTGTTCCAGAGTCCTGGATTGGACTGCAGGGATTCTGAATGTCTCCCTCTCCCCCGACCTCCTCACTCGCCTCGGTCTGAAATCCCCGTCCCCTGCTGCCTGCCATTTTGTCGTCGCCTCCCATATCCTGTAAACCACCCTCTCTTCTCACCCCGCACCCATCCCACAGAGAATTGTGCGTGCTGCTGTGCCTCAAGTGCGGGCGGCGCTTCATCGAGGCTGAGGCCGTCATCGACCAGACCGCTCCCCCTGGGTACGTGTCAGGAGCGGGAGGAGGAGGAGGAGGAGGAGGAGGAGGAGGAGGAGGAGGAGGAGGAGGAAGAGAGAGGAGGAGGAGGAGGAGGAGGAGGAGAGGAGGAGGAGGCGGAGGAGGAGGAGGAGGAGGAGGGGAGGAGGAGGACGGACGGAGAGCGGGGAGGAGGAGGAGGAGGAGGAGGAGGAGGAGGAGGAGGAGGAGGAGGAGGAGGAGGAGGGGGCGGAGGAGGAGGAGGAGGTGGAGGAGGGAGGAGGAGGAGGAGAAAGGGAGCCTAAGGTTAATTGCTTAGGGGCGCCTGATCCCTGTTGGTGGGTCCAGTTTCCTGGAGCACCACCCTGAAGGGCACGGGGGCCATCAGTGTCCATACCGCATGGGTTGTGCCAGCGAATCGTGATGGCCCAGGCACCGGCGCCGAGGCACTGCGGCTCTAGCGCGGAAGTGCATCTTGGTACTTGCCAAGGCCGCGTGAGCTCGTTGGCACTATCCTTGCTACCACAGCCCTTCGGCAGTGCGGGGGCGCACCCAAGCACTGAGGGTCCGACAATGCAGGGTGGAGGAGGATCTTGTATGTGGGGGGGGGCTTGCGGACAGGTTGGTGCGGTGCGGCTGAACCGTGATGCAAAGATCACCTTAGTGGTGGGAGTGTGGTTGGGAGTGGGAATGGGGGTGTGCACGATGTGTGGCGGCCTTTGATGTCCACCTACCTGGTCGCACCCCCGCGTGCGAGATAAGTGGGCGTGTGTGGAGGCATCCAGGTTTGACAAGGCGCTCGGTGGGGCAGGAGGGGAAGGGATGGGGTAATTAGGATGACGCCGAGTGCGAGGGACGGGCCAAGGGGTGATTTTGTCTTACAGGGAAGTGGTGCCAAACAGTGCATCGTATTTTGGCGGTTGCCAGGGGGGTCGCGATTTGTCCGCCCATGGGTGCCGACAGAATGCATCAACGTATGCGCGTCGTAAGTGTCGCGGTAAGCCCGTCTCACATGCAACCTTCTTCTTTCGCCAGTGCTTAGGAGAACGAGGCGCCGAAAAATGCAGGCATTTTGTGGGGCAGCAAATGTTGACCCCGTCCCTCGACATTTTGTCTTACAGTGCAGTGGTGCCAAACAGTGCATCGCACCTTGCCGCTTGCCCAGAGGGGGCGCGATTTGTCCAGGCGCTGACCGTTCTACTCAGCACTGGCGGACTCTGCCTGGTTGCGCGAGCGCTGAGGGCGCGGCATTGGACTGACAGTGTGGCACCGACTCCAGCCCGCCACCGACAGCGCCAGGTTTGGCGCCCCGAGGAGGCAGAGGAGGAGGAGACAGAGGAGGGGACCGCCACCGCAGAGGTGACGGCCGGCTCGCGCCGGCGGCCGCCCAGGCTGCAGGAGCAGGCAGCCCCGGGAATTGCAGAGGGAATCCGCGCGCCCCGAGGAGGCGCCCCCGAAATTCGGGGGGGTGCCCTTGCAAAAGGGGGGGGCGCAGGAGGAGATGGCCACCCCTGGAGCGACGGGCGGCTCGCGCCAGCTGCCGCTTGGGCAGCAGGAGGAGGCAGAGGAGGGGCACCGACTCAACACCAGGAGGCCAAGGCGGCTGAGGAGGCAGCTCGAGGAGGAAGGCGGGGAGGAGGCCACCGCCGCAGAAATGACGGGCGGCTCGCGCCGGCGGCTGCCCAGGCTGCAGGAGCAGGCAGCCCGGGAATTACAGGGGGTCCGCGCGCCCCGAAGAGGCAGCCTGGGGATTCAAGGGGGTACCGTATCAGAAGAGGAGGAGCAGGGGGAGATGGCCACCCCTGCAGTGACGGGAGGCTCGCGCCAGCTGCCGCTCACGCCGCAGGAGGAGGCAGAGGGGCACCGACTCATCACCAGGAGGCAGACGCAGCTGAGGAGGCCACAAGAGGAGGCAGAGGGGTCAGAGGAGGACGGGGAAAGGTCAGCGAGCAGGGGCGGCAGTTGGGATTACAGCGACGAGCGTTTTTTTCCTGAGAGGGACTGGAGGCCTAGCGGAGTGCGGGGACGGGGAGATACTCGTTCAGGCAGGGCCAATTTTTGCATTTGGGCGTTGCCCGCGGGTGAATAAGTGCCAGGAGTGCCGTGCTCTATTGGGCGGGAACCCATTCGGGCAATCCTTGCCGAGCCTCTTGAGCGACCCAGTCTCCGAATAAGCACCACAAGGGCTACATATGAAGACCACCCTTGAAGAGTAGTTTGAACTGTGTAGCGTGTGCTTTGTGGGGTTCAAGACCAAGCTGCTCAAAGGTGCATTGTACCCCTGGCAGGAGGATGCCGTTGGTGAAGGCTTGCGTGTTCCTCGCGCAAGCCGCAAGCAGCGCTGGCATGCCCAACGGGTGCGCTTCCATGTCCACTCGCGGCCACCCCCGCGGGCTGCGGCGCCTGTCGTTGCCTCGGCTTGGGTTGGCGGTGGAGGAGGAGGGGAGGGGCGAGGGGTGGCGGGGGGCACAGGTAGGAGCTGCCGTGCTGCGCCAATGCCGGTGGTGAAAACTGGCTGGCGAAGATTGCGGTCGAAAGTGGACGTCGAAACTTCGGAAGGCGCCAGCCTGGGGAACAGTAAAAGCGCTGGGACGATATACTTGAGATATCGTCGCAGCGATTCCGACTCTTCCGTCCAAGCGCTGACTTCCGCGCGACGGTTGTGCCAATGAGCAAGCCCCCTTTTTGGCAAAACGGTCGGCCAGATCGTTCCCGACCGCTTTCTACCATTCGGGGGACAATTGTGGAAGGTCGTCAGGCTTTACATGAGCTGGGACTTTCGAGATCTAGAAATCGCCTGTCCACGCTGACGATCCTCGAATCCGTGTGTGGAGCCCTGCATAGACGTTGTCTGGCAGTGACCTGGGCCCACGGTTCCTCCGCCATTTTTATGACACCGAGGAGATCGGAATACATAGTTTTCACGCGCGGACAGTGCTGCATAACTGCCAAAACGGCGATCTGCTCAGCAGCTGGGGAGGTTTGGGGGTAGTCCGCACCGATGGCCCCTCGTAGCGCAGCGAATAACTCCCCTACTGGCGTGATGTTCACAACAGACCAGTCGGCTGTGTGGAGAGTCGCGGGACTGTCCTTAAAACAGGAGCCGTCTGTAAAAGCCTCCTTTGTGAAGGCCCCCTCGATCGAGACTCTCTCCCGCGAGCACCAGTACTCATAAGTGTCGGTGCCTGATCCTGCTGGCACAATGGCTACGTCCTGCGGCCTTTCTTGAAAACCACATACGAAAGGGAAATTCCGATGAGGGTCAGAGGTGAGGAAGAGGAGGAGGAGAAGGAGGAGGAGGAGGAGGAGGAGGAGGAGGAGGAGGGGGAGGAGGAGGAGGAGGAGGAGGACCAGTGTAAACCCAAGAGTCATCGACGATGTTGGAATCAACCCTCTCTCCAAGCTCCCTCTTCATAGGCCCGTACAACGGCTCATTTCCATTGAAGGAATTGCCTCGTTGGAAAACAACTGTTTGTTCTCGGGATTCCAACGCCACGGATCAACCTGACTGTTGCGTTTTGACGATCCGGAATCGTGCTGGAACGCCGTTCTTGGGACTTCAACACCGAAACAACGTAACTGTTGCGCCCGCAAAATCCTGAATCTCTCCAAAGCACAATGTTTGGTACGTTGATCATGGAATTCCGTGAAACTGTTGCACAGTTTACGTGTGGCGCTAAGGCGAGAGCCACATTTTGGAAATCGGGTCGCCCCCAATCCGTGAAGGTCTTGCAACTGTTTAAGACGAATGTGGGCGCTCAGGCGAGAGCCACATTTTGAAAACGGGTCGCCCTCAATCCGTGACTGTTTAAAACGAATGTGCGCGGCGCTAGGGCGAGAGCCAAATTCTGAAAGCCACCCGCCGTCAGAGTCATAAGTGGTGAGGAAGTCTCAGGGGACATGCCCGGCCCGCCCTAACAACTGGCCTCGGGGCGCGACAGGGGGAAGTTATTTAGCAGGAAAAGGAAGGAAGGAAGAGCAGGAGGAGGAGGAGGAGGAGGAGGAGGAGGAGGAGGAGGAGGAGGAGGGAGAGGGGGAGTTGGGAGGAGGAAGGAGGAGGAACAGGCGCAGAGGTGGAGGAGGAGGAGGAGTAGGAGGAGGAGGAGGAGGAGGAGGAGGAGGAGGAGGAGGGGTCGATGATCCCCAGGACGTGTGTTAGCCCAATGTGTGGTTCCACCGCTCAGATTGCGCAGCCCGTGTCGGCCCCCATTTTCACCGCCTGCGTCGTACGGAATGGCTTTGGTGAGCAAGCACACCTTGGCGCTGCCACGCACGCCCTGAGGACCATCCAGGGGGGAGGAAGCACCCTGATTTCCGGCGGTACGATTTTTTTCCATCCAGGCGTTGTCCCTCGATTTGGGCCTCTGGCCCCAGGACATTGGCTCCCCAGGCGATGGATGTGGACAAATCCCCGCCTCGCAGCCATGGGTTCTGGAACCTTTCGGAGGCAAGCCTGACTCCAACGAGTAAAGGCAGAAGCTGCTCTTTGGGCTTCCCTTCCCTGTTGGGGGCCGCGCGACTCCAGGCAGGGTCCAGGAGCGCACAAGTCTCCCCACAGCGTTCGCGAGCGATCTCATAGCACTCTGGAACCTCCGCAGGTGCACCCTCCAGACCTGCCGAGACGCGACGTTGCGGGAAGAGTGCAAACAGCAAGAAACTTCGGTCCTGCTCCCAGCCCGCCCCGCCCTCCTCCCCTCGCCGCAGAGAGCCTCGAAGGCAAGAAAGCGGCAGGCACACCATTCCTCTGAGGCCCGCGCGACCTCCCCGGAGCGGCGCCGGGCCCCCCCCGGCCGCCGCCGCGGCTCCTCCCGGACCTCTCCCGTGGCGCGTTCTGGCCAGGACTCCGAGGCCAGCCGGCCATGGCCTAACAGGTCGGAAACGAGGGGGCAGCGGTACGTCACCACCCACCAAACCACCCCAACCCAACCCGAAGGCTCAGATTTACCCTCGATTTCCAGTGGGGGGGGGGTCGGGACACATCGAAAAAACACGTGTGGAACCCTTACCCCCCCAACCCGAAATTCGGGTCTTCGGGTTGGGTTGGGGTGGTCTGGTAGGTGGTCAGTACGGTAGGTTCGCGTCGTGTCGACTGGCGGCGACCCCGCGACGATCTTGCGCTTCGGAAGCGGCCGATCGTTCAAGGTCGAACGATCCCCGCGGTGTCAGAAATCAACGCTGGGGTCGGCACGACACGCACCCGCCTTATCTGGTCCTCGCATGGGCCAGGGAAGGGAAAGGTACCGATGCCGCTGGTCATTCTGGAGGTCCCTCGCCGCCACGGCTGGATTCTCCTCGACGCTCTGGTCCTAGAACGCACCTTGGGAGAGGTCCAGGAAGTAACGCGGTATCGACGTCTTTTTGTTTTCCCAGCCTGCCCTCAGATCTAGGCGTCGCCAGAACAAAGCTCGCAACGGCCAGAGTGGTTCGGCGCTCTCGGAACCTGGGAGTCGCTTCCCGTCCATGGGACCGTCAAGACATGACCTTGGGATGCCGAAGAGCCCATTGCCCAGAGCGTAAACCCATGGGTTTAACCATTCGGCCACAGCTTTCCACAGCAGGCGTCCACACGATTGCCAGAAGGCGTGAAGGCGCCCCCTGATGCCGCAGACAGCTTTCGGCGCTGCGATGCGATGAGAAGTCATCCCCTGGGGAAGGAGTCGAGATCCCCAGGGGCACACGTTACGAACAAGCTGCGTCGTCGGAGGGAGGGGTATACAGAGGAGACCCATGCCAAGAAACGCCCTGCCTGCCACCAGGGTGCCCTGGGTTGCTTGGGTTTCGATGGTTCTGCCGTCGAAGGCGTGACGTTCCCACACCCAAAATCGACGGACTTCCTGGGGTCTCAGGGTCGGGTTTCTTGTGGAAGGTTTCTTGTGGTCGGACCTCCACTGTATGCACTGGCGCTGGGCCTGACCAAGGTCCTCCTCCTCCTCCTCCTCCTTCTCCTCCTCCCTGGGCCCAAAGAGCTGGTGCACAAACCCTCCCGGCCCCGGCCAGGGAGGGCGTGTGCCCCAAGCCGGGGTCCAGGATCGCTCTGGCTGGGCACGGCCTCTGGGTGCCTTCTGCGTACCCTTAGAGTCGGGCATGTCCCTCTACAGGAGGAATATCCAAAAATAGTCAAAACATCGTCAGTGGACGTTTCTTCTTTTTTTTGTGTGAGTATTTTTTGACCATTCTTGGGTATTTCTGGATTTTGTCATCTTTCTTCCACAATTCGCCTGTAGGATGACATGCCCGACCTAAGGATCGCCCTGGCTGGGCACGGCGATGGTACAGCCGAGTTTTTAATCAAGGAACCTCCTCCCGAAAAGCTGGGCCAGCGTTTCTTAGCCGACTTGCCGGAAAGCTGGCTCAGTTTCTTGAGCGCGTTCGCCCCTCCAGCGTTGACACAAATACCCTGGCCAGGCTGGTCTTAGGACATTTCTGGGAAGCCGGCCCAGGCTTCTTAAGTGATGATTTCCTGGATCACATTTTCGGCTGTAGATAGGTGCCTTCTGCGTACCCTGTCCGCTCTCCCCTCCCGGGTCAGCGTGCGTCACCATTCGTGCGTTGTTCAGGAGGAAAAGAAACACACAGACACAATTAATCTTCGATTCCCCAGAAAATATGGGAAAATATGGGAGGTGGGGGAGAAGACAGAAACCCAGAAAATATAGGAAGACATGGAGAATATTTTTATTTGTGTGTATTTATTTGTGTGTCCTAGGGCCTCCTCAGTTGTCGATCTCGCGATCCCAGGGGCGGCCCCCGGCCAGCAGCCCGGCTTCGACGACAGCTCCAGACACGACGGCCCCGAGGCCACTGCTTCTTACCTGCTGTGGCCTCACGCTGCGGTTGGTAGGGGGCCACGTGCGAACCCTGCCCCTACCCCCCACGACTTCTGAGGGGGAGTGTGATTTTCACTTCGTTCGGGGGAGCTCCCGAGCACTTCGTTCGGGGGAGCTCCCGAGCGAAGTGAACCCCACCCTCCCTCTCAGAAGTCGTGGGGGGTAGGGGTAGGGTTCGCACGTGGCCCCGTAGTTGGGACGCCGCGCAGGCAGAGCGGGAGTGGATGCGTGTCGCCACCTTCCCCACCGCCCCTGATGGAGAGGGCGAGGGGGGTAGGGTTGAGTCCGGCATGTCCCTCTGCAGGAGGATTATCCAAAAATAGACAAACAATAGTCAGGGGACAAGTTTTTGAGTATTTGTTTGACTGGTTCTGAATATTTTCGGTCTACTTCTAATTTTTCGTTTACGATCCCCCAGTAGGAGGACATGCCCTGAGGGGGAGGGGGGAGTCGGGGTGCCGTGGAGGAGGGGGGGACAGAGCTTAGTAGGCCTGGAAACGACAGGGCCGTTTTCTTACTGGCTCCATGTTTTGCGGTTTTCTTGCCGCTTCTGGCAACGTTTTTTGCCCGTTCCGTCGCCGTGTTCTTTCCGGTTCCGGCTCCCGTTCCAGTCCCAGAGCCGTTTTCTTGCGTTTCCAGTCGCCGCTTTTTGCCGCTTCCATTTTCAAGAGACTTTTTTTTCGGAAGCGGTGAAAAAACAGGCCTCCGGGGCCCACTAAGGGACAGATTGCCGGGTGTCGGTGGGGGGGCCCAGCAAGCGAGCCCCTCCCAGCCCGCCGCCCCCAGCGACCCAGCCCAGATGGACGGGTACCCCTCGGCGGCGGCCACGCCGCCAGCAGCGCCATCCAAGGCCCCTGGGCGTCTCGAGGGCAAGATTGCTCTGATCACGGGGGCCTCGACCGGCATTGGCGCTGGTGTTGCCGTGGCCTACGCCAAAGAGGGTGCAGACGTGGCGATCAATTACCCTGCGAAGGGGGATCTGGAGAAGGCGGGCGAGGTGGCGCAGGAGGTCCAGAACCTCGGCAGGCGTGCCTTCCTTGTGATGGCGGACGTATCCAAGGAAGACGAGGTTGACGCAATGGTGAAGGCAGTTCTCGATCATTTCGGCACGCTGGATATTTTGGTAAACAATGCTGGCATCCTCGTAGGCCCAGCGCCCATTCACGAGATGGCCGTGGAATCATGGGATCGACTAATGTCGGTCAACTTGAGATCGGTCTTCCTCGTCACGCGCAGGGTTCTACCCCACATGCTGGAGAAAAACAACGGCGGGAAGATCATCAACACGGCCAGCCAGCTCGCTCAGAAGGGGGCGCCCACCTTTGCGCACTACTGCACCGCCAAGGCTGGGATCATCGCGTTTACCCGGACCCTATCACTGGAGATAGGCGACAAGAAGGTAAACGCCAACTGTGTCGCCCCCGGCGCCACCTACACACCGATCCTCGCGGACGTGCCCAGGGAGGTCCTCGGCGCGATCGAGCAGGGCATCCCGAAGAAGCGCATCGCCGAGGTCGACGACGTGGTGCCGTCCTACGTCTTCCTGGCCTCCAGGGACGCGGACCACATTGTCGGGCAGACGATCAGCCCGAACGGGGGGGACGCCTTCTTCTGACGGGGCGGGCCGACGGGGCCCCGCCGCTTGCGGCTGGCCCTCCTCCTCCTCCTCCTCCTCCTCCTCCTCCTGCTCCTCCTCCTCCTCCTCCTCCTCCTCCTCCTGCTCCCCTTCCTCCTCCTGCTCCTCCTCCTCCTCCTCCTCCTCCTCCTCCTCCTCCTCCTCCTCCTCCCTCTCCCCCCCCGCCCGCCGCGGGGGTGCCGAGGGGAGGCCACGGCGCCCGCCCACCATCCGACCCCCCGCCCTCCTCGAGGCCCTCGCGGCCCCCCTTCTGCCCCTCCGTCTCCGGGCCCTCCATCCTCGCCGGGCCCCTGTGCCTCCGCGTCGGCGTCGTCCCAGCCCTCGCGAGCCAGGGGCGGAGCAGCCTCCCCCCCTCCTCCTCCTCCTCCTCCGCCTCCTCCTCCTTCTCCTCCTCCTCCTCCTCCTGCTCCTCCTCCTCCTCCTCCTCCTCCTCCTCCTCCTCCTCCTCCTCCCTCCCCCGGAGCCCCGGAGGTGGCGTCGACTGGACAGCCCTGGGCGTTCACGGGGCAGTTTTGCCTTGCCCGATGCCTTCGAGCAGGTGCGTTGGCCACTGGACATCGCTCGTATGGGGTGCTCGTGCTGACGGTGGCTCTTCTGCCCACTGCTGCCCCCCCCCCCCCCCGATCCGACGGCGTGTTCTGTTCAGTCCGCGGCCCCAGTGGTCCCGACCCCTTCCCCAGGGACCGTCTTTTTGTCCCGAATCGATGTATGATGGCCCTGGGGTGCGAGGGCGGCCCCCGGAGGCAGAAACTACGAAGCGGGCTCGGGCGGCTCCCGGTGGCTTTTGACCTCCTAGTGGGAGCCCAGAAGAGAATCCCTTCTGGCCTGCGCTCGTACAGTCCGGCCGCCGAAGAAAGTTCCCCTCTCGTTGGGGAGGGGATGGGTGCTCCTTGATTGTTTGTACAGTCTGTCATAGGTTTCCATGGGAAATCGAAGTTTCACCAATAGAAGAAAGGGGGACTCCTCCTCCTCCTCCTCCTCCAGCTCCTCCAGCTCCTCCTCCTCCTCCTCCTCCTCCTCCTCCTCCTCCTCCTCCCCCTCCTTCCCCTCCTCCTCCTCCTCCTCCTCCTCCTCCTCCTCCTCCTCCTCCTCCCCTCCTCCTCCTCCCCCTGCTCCTCTTTCTCCTCCTCCTCCTCCTCCTCCCCCTGCTCCTCTTTCTCCTCCCCTCCCCCTGCCGTGCGGGCGGGATCCGCGGCGTGTGGCGTGCGCTCCTGCGGGCGGGATCCGCCACGACGGGTCTCGGCGGGCGGTGTTGGACGCCCCCGCATTGCCTGTCGGTGCTCCAGGCCGGCGGGTACGAAGAGAAAAGGGTCCTGGAGGAGAGGGGTCTTTTTTCGAAGAAGAAAAAGTAATATAATAATAATAGTAATGGTAGTAGTGGTAGTAGTAGTAGTAGTAGTAGTAGTAGTAGTAGTAGTAGTAGTAGTAGTAGTAGTAGTAATAGTAATAATATTAATATTAAGAACAATAATAATACTAATGATAAACAAATAATACTAATACTACACTACTACTACTACTACTACTACTACTACTACTACTACTACTACTACTACTACTACTACTACTACTAATACTACTACTACTACTACTACTACTACTACTACTACTACTACTACTACTACTACTACTACTACTACTACGACTACTACGACTACGACTACTACTACTACTACTAACTACTAATAAAAGTACTAATAAAAAATAGTAATAGTGATACTATAAGAAAAAGCATGCGAATCAATTACTAAGAAAAAGAAGAGGAACCATAAACGTGAACTTTCGGCGCCCCGCGCGGATTTCTTGGATCGGCGCTTGGGCGGCTCCCTGGCGGCGCCTCCGGCGCCGCCCCTGGCGCGCTCCGCGCGCCAGGGAGGAGGGCCCCGTGCGGATCCAAGAAATCCGCGCGGAGCACCTGAAGTTTCTGCTCATAGCCTTCTTTCTTCTTCGAAAGAGGTCTTTGGAGGTTTTTGGCCAGTCTGCAGCCTCCTGGGGGCCCTCCCCCGGGCGCAGGGGGACCGTGAGAAACACGCTCGGGATTCCACCAGGGTCCCTTTTCCCTCGTGCCAAGCTTCTGCGGCTGATGGGAGCTGGCGCGGTTGGCACCTCAGTGCACATTTTGACTCCCTTGTGAAGGCACGGGGCTGTATGTGCATGGGCTGGCACAGCATTTAACTCAAGAGGCTGACGCCATTCTGCCTGCCCCCAAACAGAGGAAACGAGAGAGGGCTTCGCAATCATGAGTGGTTGAAGTAGGGTGTGCGTTGTCCTTCTCCGCTCTCCTTCCTCTCCTCCTCCTCCTGCACCTCCTCCTCCTCCTCCTCTTCCCTTCTCCTTTCGTGTTTCGTTTCACATGTTTAGTTGCAGTGTGACTTGATTAATGCCAGCTGACGTGTGAAAGGTGTCTATGGGGTTGCGCTTCGTCGGAAACAGGAACATATACATTACCAGCGGCGGGCTATTTTTCAATCCCCGGACTTTTTGACGGTCGGGGACAACGTCGGGGTGGTGTGGTGTATACTTGTTTCCCCGAATTCCCGGGAAAACAGCGACAGATGTTTACATCACGGCCCCGTATACAGCAGGATTCGTTTTCTTGGGCAAATTTCAGTGCAGGGCTGGAAAAAGCGTCGGTGTAGACAGTTCGTTTCTATGCTTCGTGCAACACAGCAAATGCGTTAGATCTGCGCTGGGACTTCTGGCGTGAGGGCAGCGGAGTTGTGACAGCCAGGTCTATGTGATGGTGGCGCGTGGGAGTTGGCACCAGCTAGGGGGCTGATGTGGCCGAGCACTGTTTCTGATCAGCAACAAGGGGGGGATAAACAGGGCCCCTCCGTCGCCACTTCTGGACGCGGCTCGAAGAACCAGTGGGGAAACACACACACACATACAAACGCACACACACACTAACACACACACAGGCACACACACACGCGCTATCACACACACACGCACACACTCTAACACACACACACTAACACACACACACACACACACTAACACACAGTACACACACCACAGACACCACACATACACACAAACACACAAACATACAAAGCACACACGCACACCACACCACACACAGACACACACACACAGACACACACACAGACACACACAGGCACACACAGACACACACACAGACATACACAGACACACACACACAGACACAAACAAAGACACACACAGACACACATGCAGACACACACAGACACACACAGACACACACACAGACACACAGGCACACACAGACACACACACAGGCACACACAGACACACAGGCACACACTGACACACACACAGACACACACACAGACACACACAGACACACACAGACACACACACAGACACACACAGACACACAGACACGCACACACACACGGACACACACACAGACACGCACAGACACGCACAGACACACACACAGACACACACACAGACACACAGGCACACACACAGGCACACACACACACAGACACACAAGTAATCACAAGCACTCAGACACATTAACACACAAACGCGCACACATACAAACACACAAACACACAAACTTACAACCACCAGCACACACAAAGACACACAAACACACAACCACTCACATACACATAAACACATAAACCCACAAACACACAACCACACGAACACTCAAACACACAAACACACAAACACACAACCACTCAAGCACACAAGCACACAAACACACGGACCCACACATCCACAAACAAACAAACGCACAAACTCACACACAACCAAACACACAAACACACAACCACACACATAAACACACAAACACACACATTCACACAAACACGCAAACACACAAACCCGCAACCACACAAACACACAAACACACACAAACACACAGTCACACAAGTACACACAAGCACACACAAACACAACTATTCAGACACACAAACACGCAACCACACAAACACATAAACACAACATCACACACACACACGCATACACGCACGCACGCGCGCACACATACGCGCACACACATACGTATGGTCCTTGGGAGCAAGCATCACTCTGTGTCTTTTCCACACGCAGTGTGTGTGTGTGTGTGTGTGTGTGTGTCGTTTTTTCCACTGTGTGCGCGTGTGTGTGTGTGTGTGTGTGTGTGTGTGTGTGTGTGTGTGTGTGTGTTCCACAGCGTGTTTTTTTTCCACAGACCGTTTTTTTCCACAGTGTGTGTGTGTGTGTGTATATGTGTGTGTGTGGGTGTGGGTGTGGGTGTGGGTGTGGGTGTGGGTGTGGGTGGGTGGGTGGGTGGGTGGGTGGGTGGGTGGGTGTGTTGTTTCTCAGCTTCGACCCCAGGGAATCGATTTTGAGCGGATCTGCCCTCGCCCACCCCCCGACCGAGCTTCTTGGGGCCCGTCCAGCGCAGAATCCCTGGCCGCTTCCGCCGTGGAATGTTCGGGGTGAGGAAGTTTACAGTGGGGGCCCGTGCCAAGAAGCACCCTGCTTGCCTCCAGGGTGCCCTGGGTTTCTTCGGTTTTGATGCTTTTGCGATTGAGAGCGTGACGTTCCCACAGCAGAAATCCATGGCCGTCCTGGGGTCTCGGGGTTGGGTTTCTCGTGGAAGGTTTCCTGTGGTCGGGGCCCTACTGTATTCTCTTGCACAGCTGTGTTCTAGAGCTCGGGCCTCTGTAGTTTCGTTCGTTGTTCGTTCGTCGTTCGTCGTTCG